AACAGCCTGCACCATACCTGCCACAAATGTGGAATCTGCAATGCACAGATGACATACCATCAAAGGATGTGCTGCCTGAGAACTTGGGAAAGCTACGATATAGTGGGTAGTGTGTTTCTTGGAAAGCACAGACCACCTGCCCCACCAAGATGCGCCAGATTCACGGTTGTACCTACACGCGTTTCAGAGCAGTGCTTCTCAAGCTTTGGTGGGCGCTGAAGACCATTTGGGTGGATAATTAAGAAATTTCATGAGTTGGTAATAGTAGTATTTGTTTGGTTTGTTTGTTTGTTTTCTGCTTAGTTGCTATGTGACCCAATCAAGTCATTACATTTTTCTATATTTCAACCGTTATCCCTAAGGAGGCTAATTTTTAAAAACGAAATGCTTCTTTATTGGTCTCTTTTTCTCGGAGATGGATGCCAACTCTGCAAACTCAAAAGAGCTTTCAATCATCCTATTCCATTAACCTTTCCTTCCCTAGGCCTGGTGGGGACAGGTCAGCATCAACCCTCCACGCTCCGTGCAAACAGTAAAACAAACCTAAGGACCAAAGAGATGCCCAGAGTGAGGGGCTCTGTCATCCAGGTGTGGGATCAGGCTGAAAGAGGCGAGAGGAAAGGGGAAGGAACCCTGTCTACACCTTCACCTTAAAAGTGGAACGATCCCAACTTTTATGTCCAAGAAACAAAGGAAGGAGGGAGCTAGGGATGGAGGAAGGAAGACAAGAATTAGAGGGAGGGAGGGAGAAGGAAGGAAGGAAGGAAGGAAGGAAGGAAGGAAGGAAGGGAGGGAGGAAGGAAGAAAGGAAGGAAGGAAGGGCTGATTTGGAGATAAGGGCTGAATGTCCCACTAAAACAGGGGTGGGGGATTTTTTTCTGCCAAGGGCCATATGGATATTTGTAACATAATTCATGGGCCATACAAATTTATCAACTTCAAAATTAGCCTGCTATATTTGGTCAAATATTTACTTAACTCACCCCTACTGCCTTGGCAGGACCAGACCAAATGATTTCTTGAGCCTCATAGGGCCCGCAGGCCAGACATTCCCCATCCCTGCACTAAAAGCTGGACAAATTACGAGCATGTGTCGGAACCTCATGAGGAATGAAAGCAGAAGACGCCCAGTTTTGGGCCTGCTCTCCAGCAGCCAATCAGAAAAGATCTCCCACAATCTGGGAGCCTTCACACTCAGGGTATGAGTTGTAGAAGCAGAAAGGATTCTGGGTGTCTGTGCACGCACACACACACCCTGGGGGGCAGACTACGTGCCCAACTTAGACACCCAGGTCTAATTGTCACTGGATGAACAGGAAAATGATGCCAAATTAACACATATTATAAATCCTTCCCTATCTAATGAAGCCATCAGCAATTTTAATTTCATTTTTCATTTGTTAGTTAAAAGAGAGAGAGAGAGCACTTAGCAAGTGATTATCTCCCCAACCTCCACAGACGCTTCTTCAGCTTCATACTGCATTTGTCAGCAAATGTGATTGGAAATAAAACTGCTCCAAATATTTGTCTCCCAGATTTTTAATTTTCATTCTCAGATTTAAGAACTAGTGGACTTGCTTTTTGACCCCCCTGCAATTGGAATTAGTTGAACAATGGGACCCTGACCAAGAGAGGAGACTTCCTAACACAGGTTCGGTCACCCTCTTCCGGTTGCTCCAGCCATTTCAGCTTTGAAGCAGTTTTACATGACCCTGCAGGCAGCACTGACTCCAGCTACCTGCCGAGGGGACTGGTTATTGCCGGGCCTCGATGGTTACTGCAGACGGCATCCTAGATCCAGGGGGCAGACCTGAATCCAGCCTCTGAGACATCCTACTCCAGACCCTTCACTGTAGAGATGAGGAAACAGGTTTTCCAAGAAGCAGGGATTCTGCCAAGGCTGCCCAGCTGTTGTGTGGCAGGGCTGGGTCAAAATCTGACTACCAGCCAAGTTCTTCCTAACCATACGGAAGTATGTCCCCTGATTAAATGGAAGCAATGCTCTAAACTAAAAGCAGCCCTTCGCTCCCAAAAGTGAGGACTTCTATTATGGACAAGATGGACTTTAAGAGGGGCACTGGATGTCGGGGTCCGATCTGCAGTCTTGTGGGCCCCCCGTCTGCAATCAGCACACTGTATTATTTCTTGTGTTGAGTGAATGCATGCCTATTTCCTCAGAAAGTGGCATTCTCCACCAGGGAGGGACTGTTCTATTCATCAGCCAACCAGCTGTAGATTTTGTACACAGTGAACACTCAAATGCACCTTTTGTAAAACAAATGACTGCCCAAAATACCCAGCAAAGCACGGATGGCAGAGATGCTCTGTAGATGGAGCATGGGAACAACAATAATTATTTGAATTTTTCTGAAATAGAAAACTTAGGAGGGACAGCTGCCTAGATGTGGAGAATTGCCAGAGAGTAGGTTCTAGATTAACACACATTTTTTCTGGAGCCCAGTCATTCAGCGATTTTCCTTTCTTTACTTTTTTAGGACATTTTGTTGTCTTAATCGAAAGCCCTGTATACCTCTGATCAACTGCTGTCCCTCCTAAGGGACCAGCACACACACAATCCCTTTGGAAAAGCCTAATCAGCCCTAATTGAGCCACAAAACTAACCCAAATTAGTCAGACTTTTAGAAAGCTGTCAGGGCTCTTTAAGGCAACCTGGGCTCCGACTCCTCCACCGCCTTCACAGGGAGTAAGTGCTCAAGTTCTAAAACATTTAAGTGCTGCCAGTGACCCCTGCACAGAGACCCCCTTTTTCTCAAAGACATTCACTCCATTGGCTTCTTATTCCCATACGAAACAGAAATAACAACAGAACATCGGACTCCAAGGTGGATCACAGAACGTCAAAGTCCAAAGCCTATTGCCATAGTAGTTTTCCAAAGAAGCAATCTGGCGTCAGCCTCTAGCCCCTTAGTGGAGTCCTCATCTCAGAAGAGTGTCACTGAATTCCTGGAAACCAAAAGCATCCCGACAAAAGCAGAACCAAGTGTCTTCAGTTCTAAGAGTCACCGAATCAAGCAAATAAAGTCAAACCTCTTCCATCTCCAGCGCTTGCCACTGCAGCAACCCCCAATTACCGGAAGCTTCCAGCCACTCATTTTACACCCAAACTCTGTCTCTAATGACTCAATTGGCAGCAACCTTGCAACCTTGTTCTCACATTTATTTTGCATTTGATAATTAAAAGCCTCATGTTTAAAAACACCATATTCTTACAAAACACCTTGGCGTTGAGAACCCAAAATTATCCAAAGGTGTCCTTCTCTGAAGAATCTCATATCTGGGTGATGGGTGGCACACAGGTACTTCTAGCCCCATTTTAGAACAAGGAAAGCGCCTCAGGGACTTGAACTGAGTGAGTCAGTCATGAATCCGAAATAGAAGCGAGACTCAAGATGACCTTGAGTCAAATCCAACCCGAAAAGGTGTAAATTGATAGTGACACTCATGTAGCCCAATGTGCCTCCAGAAAGTAAGTCAGAATGGCCCCATTAAAAACACACACACACACACACACACACACACACAACAAGTGTTACTGTCAAATCTTAAGTATTATCCTACATATGCCATTACTTTGGCAAATTCACCACATAAGCTTCTGTTTGGGGCCGTAGCCATATGTTATATATGCTGTAGTATGCTGCTTTATTTTCCTTCCTAAGTATAATCCCTAGAACACTAAAATGACGATCTCACAAAGTTACTTGCTACAATATGTGCTTCTAGCGAGATTTCACATTTCATTTTAAAATCTATTCAGAAGCATCTATAATAATAAAAATGTAATATGCTAATTAGACCGGACAGCTGAACAACCTTCTGGATGTCCTTCCAGATGACCTTCCTGATGAAGCCAGGGCTGCGAGGGCCGAGGCAAGCTGCTGCGGCTGTGAGGGCTGAGCCCCTTGCACGAATTTTGTGCATCGGGCCTCTAGTTTATTAATAAGCATTAGGATCATGGACACAGGCAGAGGAAACTGCTCACCCACTTGAAAGCAAAATCACTTGTAAAGACATCTTTTGAAGACTGAGGGACTCCATCAGGGCCACTCAACCATCTAGTGGCTGCGCTGGGTCAAAACTGAGAAGATAGGTTTGACTACCAACCAATGCTCTTCACGTCACTATACAAAACCGTGTTCCCCCATTCACTGGAATCAATTCACTAAACTAAAAGCAGTCCTTCTGCTCCCAGATCCACCAGGACTTCTAATGGTGACAAGACACATTGGAGAGGAGCACCAACTGTCCGTCGGAATTCATTTCTCTTCCAAAGACCCTTCTCTCTCCCACTCCCATGTATTTAAGGCCACCTGGATGTTAAAGCCTAGTGAATTTGGACTTGTTTACGGTGAGAAAAGAGCCAGGACTGAAAAGTGAGGCCAACGTCAAGGTTCCCTTCCCACAACTATGTCTGCCTTTGTGAGAAACACAAGGCTTAAAAGATGAGGAAAGCAGGGAAAAGGAAGTGTGCTCTAGTTAGACTTGCACCCAGTCAGAAACCTAGGGGCACAATGCAGCTAGGGTAGTAAACCCCCCAAAATAAAAAGCAACAAGAAAAAAATCTGCCAACTCCAGCAAACGACAAAATGCACAGGATCTGCATTTGACAAGAGTAACCCAAGGCTCTCCAGTGACCCGGGGGGAAGGTCATTTCATCTATAAATGAGATCTGGGATGGAACAGAGACTCTCTCGTTCCTGCTGGACCATCATTCCAACTCCCTAAGCTCACAGTTTTCTAGATAAACCTGCTGAGAACATAAAGGCTTCTTAGGACCTTACTTTCAACCCAGAAAACAGAAAAGAAGGCCCTCTTTCCACTGCATGGAAATTATGTTTTGCGATCCATATGCCCTTCCAGACAGGAGGCTCTGAGGGCAGGGGCTGGAGCTGCACAGCACCTGCCTAGTGCATGGTAGGCAGCATGTTTTAATAAATGAATGACTTGCCCAGACAACGCGAAACCTGAATTCTACTCACACTTATGGGAGAGAAGCACGTCAAAGGAATCGGCCCACCTGGTGGCTTCTTCTGTGGAAAGTCTCCTAGAAAAGAAAAACCATCTCTCTTGACTATTTTTGAAATGACCTTCTCGCCTTTAGCCACCACTGAGATCTGCCAGCAGAACAGATCGGAACAACGCAGGGCAAATGAAGACCATACCTGGATTCCTGAAATTCTGTCACTGGACTGTGTTACATGCCTAAGAAACGGTTGCGGAAATCTCGGGATTGGCCTTCTGGGAATTTAGTATCTCGGCTTTCAGTCTAAAGAACAAAGCTACGCCATTGCGTGATTTAAAAATGTCAAGATCTCCATGGAGAGAAACTGGTCTTGGAGTCAGGAAAGTCGGGCTGAGCTCCCGACTCCCTCTCTGTCCCCTTAATTTCTTCGCCTCTGTAAGGGGAACAGTGACACCCATCATGGAACCCTAGGAGGGTTAAATGAGGTGACATCTGGGACATCATTTAACTCTGGGCCTGCACAGTAGAGGCACTGAATCCAGTTTATCTCAACCTAAGCAGATTTTTCAAATAGATTGGAGTGTTCATTTCCAAATTGAGAGCTCAGATTGACAACAAAGTAGGGCCAAGAAATATCCTCCACCGCAGCTGCAGAAAAGTGGTGGTTAATATGATTTTCTTAAAAGTGAAAAGAGTGAAAAGGTGTGCTAAGTGATACAGTAGGAAAGGATAATAACCATTCTGTCATTCACATAATGGTGTCTAAAAGGAGCTGCCAGGAGGCAGGAATGTATTGTCTCTTGGTTCATCTGGCCAACAGCTCACTAGAGAGGAACGGGTTCTGTGGCCACACGGTGGGAGCCCCACGCTGGGCACCCGGGATGCCAAGTGGCCATTACTACTCACTTCAGAGCACGGTTGGGCTTGTCAGGAAGAATCGCTGTGAAATCACTACACGAGTCTGACTTGTGAGACAGGCATCCCAGTCGAGTCCTCATCCCTTTGTTCCTGCAACAAGAAGGGCCTGGCCTGTCATGACAAGAGCTGTCAGCTCCATAATAGGGCCCCTGGAGTTGTTGCTGCAGAAGCCAGCACCACCTCCCCAACCCCACCATGTCCCCAGGGCGGGGTGGGTTGAAGATTTCTCCATCAGGAAAAACCTAGAAGATCAAGGGATAGACTCACTCCCTAGCTCGACTACAGAAATAGCAATAGGTACCCTCCCCGAGAGGCCTAGCTTTTTAAAGCTGCCATGCAAGTTGATGGTAAGTCAATGAAGGTCGTTAGCTTGGAAGAATTTCTAAATTAGGATTCTCTGTAGGGAGAGGAAATACAGTGACGACAAAATAACAAACCACATTTTGCTCTCCATTAGGAGGGCGAAGCTGTGGCCGCCACAGCTCCCGACTGCAAAGGCCCCCGAGCAGCTCCCACACAGAGTGGAGGGTTGAGCACTGGCGTGATACAGGAATGCATCTCACAGGGTCTCAGAGCACAAAGCTTGGGGCGTCCAGGCAGGTCAAGTGGGACTCGGGTTCCCCCTCTCATCCCACAAACCTGGGGATATACACGAGTGGCTACAGACCAGCAAGGACCATGCCTGCCGGTGAGAGGAAGGGAGATTGGAACACTCGGCCATGAAGAACCTGTGTCCCCTTTGTCAGTTCTTTTCTCTGCTTAACTAAGCTCTCCTCTTCCTGTTTGTATTTTGGCATCTCTCAATCAGCAGGCTTAAAATTTTAACATACGTGTTTAGAATTCTCATACATTTTATTTCCCTAAGGTCCAGACACTTCATTATAGTTATCTATTGTGGAGGATCCAATGAGAAATTGTGTTCATATCTCTTTCCGATTCCCAACATTAGCCCCTTTTACCTTCAACCAGAGGTCAGCCCTGGAAGATGCCTGTTTGTGTAAATAAAGTTTTATTAGAACACAACAACTCCCATCTGTTTACATACTAGTATTGTGGAACACTGCTTTTGAGCACAAGGGCAGAGTTGGGTGGTTGCAACACAGACTATATGGCCCAAAAGCTGAAAATATTTACTCTCTGGCTCCGAACTTTAACCCCGGCAACTCCTCGAATGGAGGGCAAAGGTAAGTGGCAGGGGGTTGGTATAATCAGATCAGGACCACACACTGTAACAATGTGCCCTGGAAACGGTCCTAGGAGATGCTATTCTCCATGTTGAAGGGAAGTCCTTCCTGCCTGATGTTTCTTCCCTCTTTTTCACAAATCCTGGGCCTGAGCAGAAATGTTACAGCTCATCCATTTCCATCTCTTCCTTTCACTTCAAGTGGGATTTGACCCCCTCAGGCAAATATACACAGAAATCTAACAAACACCTACTGGGATGTTATTACACTTGGCAAGCATGGACAACATTCATATGCCACTGCCCATCTCTGAGGAAAGGGTCTTTTAAGGCTGGGACATCCAAGTTCCCAGAAATGTCCACTATCCTGCAGAAAACTGAGCCTGCACATCCTGTGCTCCCACCTCTCATCTCAGCCAGGTGCACTGTGAAGCCACGGATTTCCTGGCATTCAAAACATCTGCTCTAGCATCTCATGTCCACTCACTCTTACAAATCACAGGCTGCTGTGACACCAGGCCATGCCCCCGAAAAGCAATTAAGAGGATTTCCAAAAAATGTCAGATCCATGCAAGCCATCTAACAAGGGTTAGCAGGGGCCAGAGTAAAGAGTGCTACTTGTTACCAAGACAACAATGATTCTCCCAATAGTTTGCAAAAGTCTTCCACGATTTATTCTTTGGAACAAAATGGTTTTGATTTTCCATCTTGTCTAGCTGAGACCTCAGTTCTAATCTTTTAGTTCAGTCTGAGATAATAGGAGCAGAAGCAAGAACCAGAGGTTAAGGTTACTTTCAAAAATTTGCCTGGCCAAGTGGCTCAGTCGGTTGAGCATCCTCCTGTGCACCAAAAAGTTGCCGGTTCAATTCCTGATCAGGGCACATACCTGGTCAGGGCAGGTGTGGAGGGCAACCGATCGATGTTTCTCTTTCACATCAATGTTTCTCTCTCTCCCTTCCTCTCTCTAAGCATATCCTTGGGTGAGGATTAAAAAAAAAAAAAATCTAGGCTAGCCCTCATCTTCTTCCCCTGTCCCAATAACTCATAGAAGTCCCTTGATGGTTCAATACAAGCTCATGCACATTGAATTCCACTGATCAATGGAAAAGCTTGGTGCTAAAGCAGGTTCTGCTTGCAAGGCCATAACTTTGCAAGAAGCACCCAGGTAAGGACAGCGCAGTCTATACAGGAGGCCTGGGGGACGGATACAAGTGGCCTACCCCTGGGAGGCCCAAACAGCAGAGCATGTGGAGAAAGAGCAGAGGGGCAGGGGCAAAAAGACAGGTTGGCATCAGTTACCTGCGTGGCATCAGTAAGGCGGCCATACAGGCACCCGCTTATGGTTAACCCTCTGGCCGGTGTGCAGGGACGTCAGGGCGGGAGATAAGACTGCGGGGTACAGGGATTTACCCTTTCACGTCCTCTCACCTAAAATCAAAGAATCCGCTGTAAGAGGGGGCCACCCTCTCTTCTCTGACTGTGCTAGAAATCCTTTCTGATGGCCTTCTGCCAACTGAATACCTCCCCGCTCACACCCCGTTCCCCACAAACTTCTACTAGTCCCGAGACAGGGAGACAAACCAAGGATGGACAAGAAAAAATTGTTGGGTGGGTTCACATTGCTGCCTGCTGGTCAGGAGTTTCTATCTCCCTAACTATTGGCCATCAACAGCAAAGTGGGGCACGTGCCCCAGGGGAGGAAGGCATGGGCCTGGGGAGCCAAAAATTACTGTTTTCTTTGTGTTACTTGAGTGGGATCCTGTGACCAGCCAGCCAAGAGGAGGGGCCATGGGGGGGGGGGGGGAGCACAGCACTTGCTCCAGAAACAGTCCATTGGCTACTGCTCTGCTTCTCACCTCCCTCCAAGGGTGTAACCTGTCCCAGAGGTGAGAGTGTGGGAGCCTCGGGAGGACGTGAGCGGGAGGAAGGTTGGGTAACTCCAGGGGAAGCCTGCCAGGCACTGTCACCGCACAGGCTTGCTCCTTTGCAGGGATCCCAGACGCAGACCGAAGAAATGAATCCCCAAGTCACTCTTCCTCCCCCGTATGGAAGCTGCCTGGCCCACCTCAGCCCCCGGACTGGCCCGTCCCCGACCTGAAGCAGGAGGACATCAGGGAAAGGGGACAGAGGTTGAGGGCTGATTGACGGATAATCTCGCTCTCCCGAGGGTCCCATTCTCAGGGCTTCAAGCCCTTTGTTCCCATTGAAGAGAACTGGTAGGAAGAAACGTGTGAAGACAGCAGTCTATCCGTAAAGGGATCCCCTGGGGGAACCCTGACACCAAACGTAGAATCCATTTTAAAAGAAACCTTTAGATAGATAAGGCCCTTCTGAGATCCACTTAAATTCTTTTGCTACTACCAGGAACATTTCACAAAGACTTTTTATAATACCTTTTTGAATAATACCACAATTAATAAAATAACGAGATTGCTTTATTAAAACTAAAAAAAAAAAAGTTCGATTTTATGTAAGGCTCATCCCCAGGATATGACAGGGGCTGTGTTCCCTGACAGCAGGAACAGTTCCCTAATCCTGGTCCTAACCGTGCCTACACCTGCTTGCTCAGAAGTCAGGAGATCGAAGCCTTTCATAGCTGTCAGGATCTCTAGAAATCATTGTTCTGGGCATCTAAGCCTCATTTTCTCTGGATTGTGGGATATAGCCGCAGAGGAGGGGGAAGCCCAGGCCAGGGGCCTTCACAGCCCTGGAGCTGAGCAGAACCAGGCACTCCCACCCCCACACACAGCAGAGACAAGGTCGTTTGGGGCAAGTTTCACCAGGCCTCCTGTCACTGCCTTGTCACTCTTCCCATTCCCACCGCTAGCCCACACCGGCTTGCTGGAGCTGCTTACATACCTGCCTCCCTCTCTTCCAAATCCAGCCGTGCCCACCAGCCTCAGACCCTCTACCGCCCCTTCCTTGAGCTCAGCCTTGGAGCCCATGGAATGAGGACCTGCAAGGTTCTCTGACCCCAGCTTCCCCATTCACCCCAGCACCTCGGGGCTCTTATCCCATTTGGCCCTTGACTTTTGGGGGACAGAGTTTGGGGTTACCCAGAGCCCAGGAAAACCAGCAGTGCGATTACACCCACAGTTCATGTGCCCTCGGAGGTGGACATCAAGTTACAGGTGACTCTACAGGATGGGTCAAAATGGAAACAGAGGATGCTCAGTGGGCAAAAAAAAAAAAAAGAAGATTAAAAGCAAAGAGCAAAGATTTATAAAGAGGGGAAGAGAGACTAAGCCTCGGTGGAGAGAAAGCAATCAATATGGAGAGGCAGGTTAATTAAATATGGATAATGCAATCAGCCCACACGCGCACCCAGAGAGGAGAAAGCAGAAGCAATACTCACTGTCTTTGACCGGTCCTCATGGCCTGCGGGTCTCTGCCAACGGGATGGTCAGAGAGGCTGCGGGTGAAGGAGGTCTGGGGAGAGAGCAGATCTGTCTTTTAGCAGTTTAGCAGTCAAATCCTTGGCGGGTGAAGGGCATGTGTGCATGCACACGCAGGCACACGCGGGCACGCACACACATCTCCACATGCATGCATGCACAATCCACCTCCCACCACTTGAGCCGGGCAGCGAGCAGCCCCGCTGAAATCTCTTCTCCCTGTTTGTCACATCCAATAAATACTGGAGCAGCCTACACCCAGCGGGCGGCGGCTCGGCTCCGGGGCACGGGCTGCACGCCCATCCTCATTGGCAGGATGCTGGAGGTGCCCCTGCGCGGAGCTCGCCTGGCACTCCTCCCGCACCTTCCTCCTCAGCTTCGCGAAGCTGCTCCCCTGCTTCTTTGGCTGAGGCTCAGGGTGAAGTCCCCACAGCACAGAGCTGCCTCCCTCTGCACCCAGAGGCTGTGCAGGGGGCAGCGAAGCCGGAGGCATTAACTCTTTCCTGCCGCCAATGCAATCCAGTGGCCAGGGGGCCCCCTTCTAATGAGCTCCGCTGCCCGCTGAAGGCTGGTTGCCGCTCAGGGAGCAGGGAGCATAAAGACCTCGCCCCAGACAGCTGCTGACAGCAGGAGCCACGCCGAACCAAATCTCCTAATGAGCCAGGAGGAGGGGGCTGTCTTGCTGGGTGTGATGTGATGTGATAAATGCAGAGAGCACGAAAGCTACGGGGCAGGTCACACATCTAAATTCCACCTCCTTTCTCCCAGTTTCTATTATGCTGCAGTACCGAGCCAAACCACCAAGCCCGGCATTAATTACCCCCTCTGCCACCTCTCAGCCGTCCCCTTACTCTACAGAGGCATTTCTCCACTCCCACCCCTCCCCCGGCCCCCCCGACACCCACCACCCCACCCCTCACTTCTTAATGAGAAATTTCCACCTCCCCGAACATGTCTATTTCCAACTCTGTGCTCCTGTCTCTCACTTGGTTTTTCCTGCAGTGGAAATTCACCTCTCTCCCTCATCCATCACCTAGCAACTTCCCCCTACTTGCATAGGTTATGGAGTGAGACTTTTCCCTTTGTTCTGCCCATTCTGCGCATTATTCCAATTTTTCTGCCTTCTACGTTTTTTTTCTTCCAGACAGCCTTACCCACGTGGACCTTCACAGTGCCTGTTCAGTTCAGAAGGAGGACTCCCCCTTCCCGCCTGTCCTAGTGCAGTAGTCTCTGAGTGTGGCCCCTGACCGGCAGCGCTCAGCGTCACCTGGGTATGTGTTAGAAATGCCGCGTCTCAGGCCCCACCCGACACATACAGACTCGGAAACGCTGGGCATGGGGTCCAGCCTTCCAGTGATTCTGATGCTAACATGCGCGGACCAACGCCTTGGGATAAAGCTCAGATTCTCCTCATTCCGCTCGAGGTCTCTGGAGCTGGGCCCCCTGCCCCCCCCCCCCCCCCCCGAGAACTCGCTCCTAGTGCACCCAGCCTTTGCTGCAAGTTGTTTCTGAAACCCAGAAGGTAGCATTTGCTGGAGGCAGCCAGATCTCTGTAGAAAGAGATGGCTTTTTAATAAAGACACTCCATTCCGTTTGCCTAGCCTTTTACGATGTAGAAAGCATTTCTAAGTATTAACAATCCCATGTCGTAGTGAGAGAGGGGGTTATTAGCCCGGAGTTACAGATGAGGAAACTGAGGCTAGACAGCAGCACGCCTTTTTCGCAGGAGCCCAAGGACCAGGACTTGTTCTCTGTGACTCTCGCGGCAGAGCTTTCTTCACCACGTCATGCTGGGACCCAGTCCTTCCCAGCAGATCTGTTGGTGCGTAACCTGTTTTCTCGCAGTGAAATGATAGACGGAAATCAAAATGCTGATGCTGCCTCCACAGTGACTCATTGTCTCTGTCTGAAAATGTCCACAGTGCCCCTCTGTGAGGTAAAGGGAACTTGGTGTTATAAAGTGAGATGCAAAAGAAACGTTTTCCATCCCTCACAGCCCCTGCCTTGGACCCTGATGCTAGCTGGGATTCAGAATTTAAGTATAAAGAGAATCCCTTCACTTCTGGCCATGTTCCTGGTACTGATGCTAGCCGGGATTCAGAATTTAAGTATAAAGAGAATCCCTTCACTTCTGGCCATGTTCCTGGTACTGATGCTAGCCGGGATTCAGAACTTAAGTATAAAGAGAATCCCTTCACTTCTGGCCATGTTCCTGGTACTGATGCTAGCTGGGATTCAGAATTTAAGCATAAAGAGAATCCCTTCATTTCTGGCCATGTTCCTGGTACTCTACCATAAGAAAGAGGTACACAGAACTGGTGATTAAAAGCCCATTGATCAGCACTTCCCTAATCCCAGATAAGTATATAGAAAAAGGGGGACCCATGCATGGGTTCCACACACATACCTAATGTTTAATGAGCACTTAGTATGTGTTAGTCACTGTACCAAAATTTGTGCTTGTGTTATCTTATTTACTAGTAACTCTCACAACAAACTTACAAGGCCAACAACATCTTTATCATCCCCACACTAAGATGGAAAAACAGAGACAAGCCATTATAAGTGGCAGAACTGGTATCTAATACCAAACTTCGTGCTTCCAGCCTTAGCTCTACCCCTTGCTTTAACACAGTAGTTCTCAACCTGTGGGTCGCGACCCCTTTGGCGGTCGAATGACCTTTTCACAGGGGTCGCCTAAGACCATCCTGCATATCAGATATTTACATTACGATTCATAACAGTAGCAACATTACAGTTATGAAGTAGCAATGAAAATAAATTTATGGTTGGGTCATAGCACGAGGAACTGTATTTAAAAGGCCAGAAGGTTGAGAACCACTGCTTTAACACAAAGGTAGTGACACCAGGGGACTTCTCCTCTATGAGAAGTCTAAACTGGCAGGATAAAGGCCTCCTTCAGGTCTCAGGCTGCCCAGTCTGGCATCCGGAATTGAAAGGCACCAAGGAGATAAGTCAGGGCTGCAAGTGGGCTCAAGTCTCGAGTAGAGGCTGACCAACCCTAACCAGGCACCAGAATCTTCAATTAGCCTTAGAGCAATAATAGTCACAGGAAATCAATAAGCCAAGCCAAATGTTTAAAGAAAGACACAATAATTAATATAGTTAATTAATAAAAGTGTAAAGGAGAACAAGAATATAAAGAGCAGACGTTCAGTAGTGTGTGGACATGCAGCAGCCGTGAGTAAAAAGAGAAAACTCAAACTAGTCCAAACTCTTTTTTATCCCCAAATGTTTTTATTGATTTCAGAGAGGGAAGGAGAGGGAGAGAGAGAAAGAGAAACATCAATGATGAGAGAGAATCATTGATCGGCTGCCTCCTGCACGCCCCACACAGGGGATGGAGCCTGGAGCCGGCAACCCAGCATGTGCCCTGACTAGAATTGAACCGTGACCTCCTGGTTCACAGGTCAACGCTCAACCACCAAGCCACACCCCTGGGCCAAACTCTTTTTTTTTTCATCAAAACACTCCTAAACATCAAGGAGTAACCACACTGCACCCTAGTTTGAGAAACACAGACCAAGTACGGCCCCCCTTTCAGGGGAGGACTCTCCCTTAATCGTCCTTCCTACAGAGCCAGGTGCATAGAGAATTCGGGGGTTGGGGGGAATTAAGCTGCCCCGAGGGGTAAGCATTCTGTCAAGGTCTCTCCTCCTGAAGGAGAAACAGAGAAGGCAAGCAGGTTGGAGTGCTAATGAGAAAGGCATTCACCTACTTGGACAATGCATCACGGGCTGGGGGCCCCTGCTCAGAAATCCAGAGCTCCAGATCCTTTCCTGGGCGCTGATCCGCATGGTTTTCCCCAGGAAAACAGCCATTACAAGCCCTGCTCTGGCTTCTCAGGCCACCGTGACTCTCTCTGCTCTTCCCAGTCTACACTTGCCCTCCTGGGAAACCACACCCTGCAGGCGCTGGCCACTGCTTTTCTCCAGGATCAGGGTTTCGATCCTGCCTCTCTTGAGCTCCAGACCAACTTCCCAGAGGTCTGCTAGACAGCCCTCCCCTCTCAGACTCTGCAGACACCCCTGCCTCTGATGTGACCACCTCTCTCCCCTAACCCTCCATTCCTGCGGGCTCCATCCTAGCTCCTCAGGGTAACAAGCACAGGTATTGGCTTCGTTTCCTCCATATCCCCTTGCTGAATTGGTTTTGAAACCTTATCATCACATCTGTGAACTATTTCTCAACTTCATCCCCTCCCATCCACGGACACTGTCATGTCAGAGGTTATTGGGCACACAGCACAGTGCATGGCCTTCCACCCTCCTAAGTAACTGACTTTCCTGCCTATTTCATCAGCCCCCAAAGCCTTCTGGCACATACACGACCACGAGTTACCCACTGAACAGACACCAGGTCATCCTCATAATCTTTGATGGGCTCCATTGCAGCTCCTTGTCTATCTGACAGTCCAATCATATTGTCCCATTTATCCATCCAATGCCATTGTGTATGCATGTGCACACACACACACATGCACACACACACGCACATGCCTGATTCCTCAGCTGCTCCCTCTGCCCAGACCGTCCCCACCCCGGATCTGCCTTATAACTCCCAGCTCCTCCTCCAAACCCAGCACCTCCAAGCTAAAAATTCTCCTTTCCAAAGCTTTTCCAGAACTTCCTCCATCAGAAGGAACCTCTCCATCCCGACACCATGGCGCTGTTATGATTCCCTGACAGCCCGCATCATGGCCTGAAGTTCATCCTTGTGACTTATGTTTCCTGATCCTCCCAAATGACTACGTGCTCCGCAAAGACAGATTCCAGGACTATGCCCCTCGCTATCAATTCCCATTGCCTTTTACAGAGCAGGTATTTAATAGATGTCAGCTGAATTCGGTTTTGCATTCATGAAAAATCTGAAAAATGACAAAGAGTTCCTTTAGGCAGAAACATATTAGACGTCTGCAGTCTCCAGGTCAAGACTGAAGTCCAGCCTAGAGCTAATGACACTCAAGGGCGGCAGCTCGGCGTTGGCAGACCATCCTTCCCAACAGCCCAGCCGAGGAGGGTGGAATTAGTCAAGAGCCACAGGAGCACCTGGCATCATCACACAAAAATGTAATGACATTGAAGATGAAGGGAGTTAAAGGCTGCAGTGTAATATTTTTAAAAGCCACGATAGTGGAGAAGGAGATTTCTTGCCAAATGCCCCGTGTGTTTATTTAATCAACACGCCGCCTAGGATAGAGCCACGTTAAGAGCTT